AGGGTACTTTATCAATTTACATTTTTTATTTCTAACTCAGTAAGGAAATTCAATGTGACCCTGAGGCAAAAGTCGCTCAGTTAAAAAAAAAAAAAAAAAAAGTTGCTCAGTTTGAGTTTAGACAGATCTAGGACGAAGAGAGCTGCGGCACCAAAGCAGTCAAGCCTTGTGACGGGTTGAGAAGGGACGCTTGGACGACGAATCTTGAACGTCATAGCCGTGGACGTTAGATTCCATAGCCCTTCTTCGATAGACGTGGAGTTTCGATGCCATAGCCCGGGCCTGGAGTGTCGTGAAGCCATCGAGTTTCACAGGAACCTTAGCAACAGCTACGTGAACTTGTCCTTGGCGTTGTGGACAGGTGGTGGGCCTACCCACGGAGCATACAGGATTTACAAGGGGTTATTAGGCGGTGTTTTCTTCACATCGCCCCACGAGCACGGCTGTCAGGGATAAACAAAGCAGCACCAGGGAGAGAGCGGATCATGAAGACATCGTGGACTTTCATTTCTTCGACCATTTACAGAGGAAAAGCAGTCAAAACTGCCTTGGAGAAACAATCGAAGGTGTCCTATCTAGACAGGATGGGGTAGAACCATTGTAGACTAGCTCCAGGTGGGGTTATTCGATAGCACCCATATGTGAAGACAGTGAAGTAGTCTGGTAGACGAGTGATTCATCTGATTTATTTCGTTTTGGTTGTGGAAGTCTATGAAATGGAAAGAGAGATGGTGGTCCAGCAGCAGGTGCCAGCTTTGAGAAGCTAATCAAGGGACAAAAACGACGAAAACTGGTGCAGAAGGTGCCAGCTTGTGAATAGGGCCCAGCGTTGAGCACCTAATCTAGGGACAAAAACGGCCAAAACGCGGCCGTTGTCCTGATTTGTCACACCCCTAGGAAAAGTTGCTCAGTTCATTTATCTCCAGAACATACATAGGGCCTCGCCACACCAATGTTGAAAACTGAATTTTCGACATTTTCTCCTCGGAGTCCTCGCCGCACACCATGTCGAAATCCGAGCTGGAAAAAAATTTCAGGAGCTGTCAGGGAAAGGGTTTCCACACCTCCTCTCGAGACGGGCTGGTTTCCCAGCCTGCAACTTGGACATTTTCAACAGTCCTCAGATGGGATGTCAAATTCTTGCCCGAATGTCGAAAAAGAGAACGCACCAATGCTTGTCCTATCTTGTCTCTTTTGTGCATAGGACACCCCAGTTTGTCTCTTTTGTGCATAGGACTCGTGAGTTCTTCACTTGGACATGCTGTGTGGCGAAGAGTTTTTTTCTGTCGAAAGAGGGAATGTCGAAAATCTCCTGACATATGTCGAATGTAGTGATGTTTCGACATTGGTGTGGCCAGGCCCATAGTCTCTTCTCGGATTTTTTTTCTCTTTCCAAGCGGGGACCCGGCCATAGAGCAGGAGCAAACCAGTTTTGTCCGTACGGGACATCTGTTGAAATTGGCACCATACAGAAAAGATTGATTAGCATGGCCCCTGCTCAAGGATGACACACATTCCCCCCCACCCCCCCACAAAAAAAAAAAAAAAAAAAAAAAAAAAAAAACAGAGCGTCCAAACTCACATCCAAGTGAAAGCATTATCACAAAGATTAGGATATGACAAGAATGAAGGATAAGATCCCGGCAGTTTTTACCCCCCTAAAGCCGGACCATAGTGGCTTGTCTGTCTGTTGCCTCTTCTTTTTGGGCAGAAGTGGCATTTTCTGGGATAGCACTTCTTCCGGCTTTCTCAGCTCAGCTCTCCCCGTCGGGCTCGGAGGGAAGTGGAAACAAATGTCTATGTGGCAGTTCGTCCACGACTCATGCCGTAGTAGTTCTACTGAAAAACCAAAAGAAGACCATGGCCATCCCTGCTCCTAAAAAGAAGGCCAACTTTTTTTTTGTTTTTCCGATGTCCGCTGGGCTACCGGGTCCTTCCCTCTGTGTGACAGCACTTTCCTTTCCCCTTGGCCTGCCGCCGGCATTGTCGGTTCTTTTCGTTCCTCAGGGGGCAGGCCCGCCCAAGGCGGTTCTTTTTGGTTCTCCACAAGAAGAAGAGAAGTCGGATCAACCCCTTAGATTTTAAGAGAAAATAAGGAGACTTTAGGCCCATTCACCCAGCTCGAAGAGCCTTTATACCTCTTTTTCCTACGAGCTTTAGCGTAAGTGGCCAAGAGAAACTATAGAAAACCGCATTTTCTACAGTGGTATGGCGAGGCCCTCAACCTCAAAACACAAGAATCTTGCCCCAGGACGAGTCAGTAACAACCATAGCCCCAGGGAACAACAAACACCAATCTCAGTGCTACACGATGTACCAATGGGATGCTGGACCCGGTTTCCAGCAGGTGCCGCTCCCCACCAATAGATGGAGCAGCCTGACAGGTAAGCCCTCAATTCTGACGGTTCTCTTACCACCGCCAGGATCTAGGGATATCGTATCCTTCTTTTTTTTTTTTTTTTAGAATCCAATTTTTTTTAATATAGTACTCGGAGAAAATGGCAAACAATCACCCAAAAAACAGCAACAACAACAACAACAAAAAAAAAAAAAACAGCAACAGAAGAGTACAAAACACGCTGCCAATATGGCAATGGAAAAAAACAGCAACAGAAGAGTACAAAACACGCTGCCAATATGGCAATGGGTAGGACAGGGGGGGTGGGTGTGCGCCAGGGCAAAAATGATAAGAGGAAGGGTGGGTGGGGTCTTCAGCGGGATTCAGCTGGACAACCGAGTGGCCGAGTACTGTGGGTAATGGTCATTGGTCTAGTATCCCACCTCTTTATAAAAGACTAATTCTTATAGCCCAACCAATTGAATTACCTGTCAAATCTGGACAGGACCACCTCTACAACAACCTGGGCTTTTAGGGTCGGACCCCACTGCTCGGTTTCCTGGAAATATCTTTCCAGGCCGGTGTGTTTGGGACTCCACTCATCTGGAAAAGAGGATGGAAACCCAGAATTGGAAGGTATTTCAGACCCCACAGACTGTGGAAGGACGTTGCGGGAAAGGTGTCAGAAGCGTTTCTACACGGTTGGCGGGCTGGAAACCGCGGCTTTCCACGACCTTTCCAGAAAGGCCTTCCAACCGACTAGGGGGGGGGCATGTTCTCCCGTGGAAAGAAGATGCCCAGCGGGCGTGGTCCAGCTGACGTCACGGCGGACCGTTTCATAGGCGGGCAAGCCCCCTCGGACATGCACTGCCCTGTCTCACGGTTCCGATGTGGGCCGTTGTGTGTCCTGGTCCAGCAACGGACGAACCGCAATCCCATCCCAACTTTCCTTTTCCGGGGGGGGACCCTTCGACTTTTCCTTTTCGGGTATGTTTTGCTGTTTTCAGAGCTTTGGAAATACTTTGGCGGTGGGGTCCCACAGAAACCCGCCAAAGTCTTTCCGCCGTCTTTCCACCGCTTTTTATGGCCAACCAGTTTTTCCAGCCGCCGAGGAGTGGGGTCCACCCCCAACAGTCAAAAAAAGCCATAAAACATCGAGAGGGGAAGGAATGATAGCATCAAAAGAAGTGTTCATAAGGCCTGGACCCCACTGGCCGGCGGCTGGAAAAGTTTAGGCGTGGTAGGTCGATTTTGGACCCCACCAGGCCGTCGGGAAGCGATTTTGAGGTATGCAAACGTGGTTTGCAGACCCCACTGCCGTCCTGGAAACCGTGGTGGTCGTGTTTCTACATGGCTGGCGGCTGGAAAAGTCTCAGACAGAAACCGGCACTCGTTTTCCAAAGAACCCTGTTTCTGGCGGTGGAGGGCAAAGCGCCAACCGCTGGCGTTGGGGAGCGGCAAGGTGTGGTGCAGTTCACGGGCGGCACGGACTTCATGCTGGACCAGGACGACACACTGCCGGCTAAAATCGTGTCGCATGAGTCGTTTGGATGGGCCATTGGTCCATGCAGCCCATCCAGAGTTTCCTTTTCGGGAGGGACCTCTCTCCCCGTTCCTAATGCGGCAAGCCTGCCCGTTTCCAAAAGGCCGCCAGCAATCCGTGGTGGGGTCGCACAGAAACGTGCCAAAAACTGTCCACCGGCATTGGCCAGCATTTTGCGGCCACGCACCTCTTCCAGGCGCCGGCCAGTGGGGTCCAGGCCTAAGAAACAGTCTATGAACCAAATCGCCGGTTCGAGTCCACGGTCACCCAAGCTCAAGGGTCTCGCGGCACTACTCTCGAAATGTGCAAAATGAGAGTGAATCTCCCCCTAGACTATGGAAAGATGCACCTCCGTGATTTTTGTCTTTTGTGCATGTCGAGAGTAGTGCAGCGAGGCCCCAAATCTCGCCAATGCACGAAAAGTAACTGCTCAGTGACCAACTTCCCATAGTGCTCGCAAGTCCCAGGTCGAGTCCTCCGTTAACGAAGAAAGAAAAAAAAAGCACACACAAGCGGTTCGACCATCGAATCACAAGTCCAGATACCGTCAATTCGAAGTTGCATTCAGGAGGTCGTGGGCTCAATCCCCATTGGCCTCACGACAAGCCTGGGCAAGCTTGGTGTTCTACCAGCTAGAGATAACCCGTTGGCCCCCAAAGCCAGCATTGGCAGGACCTTGGTTGATGTTGTTGGTTGCTATGCAGCAACAATATTGGCCATTAGACACCGCCATGTGGGGCTTGGGGGGGGGTAGGGGGAGGTGCAGTGACTGGCCATTGCTAGGCGCTAGCACTGCCGATTTCCCCCATCGCCAATGCCTGCCCACCCCTCGTCACCGTGATGAGGGACTGGTACAGCCTTGCTCTCACACCACTCCTGTGGTGCCAACCTACCCCGTGGGCTGGGGAGAGATCCGGGTTGGTTGGTGTTCCCCCGTACTATACATAGACTAGCGAGAGGATGAGATAGATGAGTACTCGCAAGAAAAATGAGATAGATGAGAGAAGAATATAGCTTTAAAAAAAGCACCGTCGAAGACACACAACTGGTTCGTCAAAAAAAACAACAACAACTGGTTCGAACAGCGAATCGCGGCCCAGATCCCGTCAATCCTACAGTAGCACCGTGCAAGACGTTTTCACATCGACGCGGTCACACAGGTTGAAACTTCAGCAGACAGTCCAAAAAAAAGTCCATCCACTCAGCTAAGCCACCTCGCCAGGCTCAAACCCTCGATCAGTATGGCAATTGCAGCAACAACACCGTCACACCCCCTACATCAGCTGGAACATCGTCAAACCGACCTCAACTACAGGACAACAGATCGAACACCGCCCGAACCCCTACATCAGCTACCAATCAA